AATTAAATTTTTAATTTTAATAATAGTAATTAATAATGTTGAAGTTAATGAATTACATGATAATTATAATGAATTACATTAAAAGCATAGTTATAATGATAATGAATTACATGATAATTAAATATTAATTATAAATTATTAGTCAATTTCAAAAAAAAAAGGAAGAAAAGCACAAAGAATAGAAATGATAACAAAATTAGAAAGATGTATCATACCATGTATGAACATATATATATATATATAATAACAGGATATGTATGATAATAATTGTATTTAGAAACACTGATAAATTTGATAGATATCGATTATTATCAAAAACTTCAACTTCCTTTCATAGCCTATAGCTTATCTCTTTATCATTTCTACTTCTTCCATTATTTCCATTCTTTCATTTTAGGCATATCAAACAGATTTTTTAGACTAAAATGATAAGAGTTAGAATTTAATGATCAAATATTCCAATAATAAATAAACTAAAAAGAGATACTAAATTATCATGAAACTGTTAAATGATATAAATCATTTATAAAATGAAAATGATAAAAAAGGTAAAAAGGAGAGAGAGAGAGAGAGAGATTTAAAAATATTCAAAAATACTTGAAGCTAAAAAAATATTGCTAGATTTAGAAGTGATAAATGTATCCTAAAGAAGAAAAAGGAAGAGATGATCGACGTAGGCGGAAAAAGAATGGTGAAGTTCGTAAACTAAAGTTTAAGAAAGCATTCACAATGAGAAGTGAGAAAGAATTTCATCGTAAAATTATCATCACAAATGAATGGGCTGATTAAACGATCGGAAGAAGAGAGAAAGAGGGAGAGAGAAAAAGATTGAAAGAAATGAGAAATGAACATATGTGGCAAAAGGATAAAAGAGAGAGAGAGAGATAGAAAAAGAATGATTTGAAGTTCGTTAACATCTGGAAATGGATGCATTTGAAAATCTTCAGGCTATTATTTGTCCACTACTACTATTACTATTACTACTATTAATACTACTACTACTACTCTTCAGATAACTTGTATTCTATCACTATTTTTCAGGTAACTTACATCCTACTACTATTTTCAGATAACATGTATCCTTATTACTATTCTTCAGATAACATGTATCCTTACTACTATTCTTCAGGTAACAACTTCAGGTATTCTATCGATCATCTCTTTCATCATTTATCAATTTCTTTCCTCTTTTTTCAAATATTTTAATTTCCAACATTGATGACAAATTTTACGGATTATCTTTTCTTTACTAAAGCAAAAAAGAAAATGAATGATTTACTCTGAGATGAAAATTATATGTGAAAAAAAATTTTCAAAAATAATTTGTCATTTTATGCTAATGAAATAAGGGAAGCCTTAATCAAAATAATTGAATATATTTTGATTAGGCTTAAAGCCTAAAAATTTCCAAACAACAAACGTTTAATTTTTCTTACGATTATTTAAATGCAAACTTTTAGCTTATTGAACCCTCTAATATCATAAAATGATTGATTAGAGTAATTAAGAGAGATGAATGAAATAAGTCAAATTGAACATAGATAGTAGAATTTTAATGAAGCTAGCTAACTCTTACAATCAATGTTTCTTCAAAAATTTTCAATAAATAAATATATAAGTAAACAAGTAAACAAGATATAGTGCAAATATACACAATGATTATTACAATTTCATAGATTTGTAACATAAAATAAGCCATGATCTCATTAATCTTATTATTAGAAAGTATAAATAATCGTCTGATGCAATATGCTATCATTAAATTTTAAATTACGAATTTCAACAAAACTTTTTTGAAATATTGTGGATAAAAAAATAAGATTAATGAGATCATAGCTTATTTGCTTTTCTTTAATCTAAAATGAATAAGTAAACAAGTAAACAAGAGAATCAATTACACTCATTCGTCAAGGTATGATTCACATGTAGTTTCTTTTTGAAAGGTGTAAATAATTAAAATAATTAAGAAAGAGATGTAGTAATATCTTATGTTCTGTTGAAGAACAAAAAAACAATTGATCTGAAAGGTAAGGAAGAAAAAAAGGAAATTTCAATTCTTTCCTAACTTTTCAGATTAGTTATAAAAGCAATGCAATAAAACGATTAACCGAATGTTTAATAACTTTACAACAATGAAATAGAATATTCTTATCTTATCACTATTCTGGCAAAATTTCAGCTATCAATGAGATATTTAAACATTTGTTTGGAAAATTATACCTATCAATTACACTCATTCGTTAAGGTATGATTCACATATAGTTAATATTGAATGCTTCATAGCATTATAAAATTGATAGTCGTCGTACAACGTTTAGCTATTAGCAAGTGGACTATAAATGAAATGGAAAGGAAATTTGATTCATCAATAATCAATCATCCTCTTTATTATTATTATTATTATTATTATTATTATTATTATTATTATTATTATGATCATCATCATCGTCACCATTATCATCACCATCACCACTACCAATCATTGTGTAATTATCACTAGTATCATACCATTGTTGATAATCGATTATCATCACTATTATTAATAATTATTATTATCAACACTATCACATATCATCATCATCGCGTCGTCGTCAGCATACCATTATCAGCAACCGCCATCATTAACATCATTACCAGCATCAACTGCCATTGTCATCTTATTGCTATCATCATCATTAACACTACCGTTATCATCTAACACTTATCATTGTCATCATTAATTGTCATTAGTAGGAGCAATATTAAAGGAAAAATAAAACAAATGCTGTGTCGCAGAAAAGGAAAGACGAAAAATTGACATCAAGTAAAATGATGCTATAAGTGGGTGAGACGAAGAATGATAGATAATGTTGTTGACAATTGCATATATTTCATTTTTAACCAATGTCTTTCTTCCTCTTCTTTCTTCTAATGATAAGATTGACGTAAACGTGTAATACGTGAAAATTTGAAGGACAAAAAGAAAATGTTATGATGAAATTAAAATAAAATATAAACAATATATATACAAGTTAATAGTATATGTTTTAATTAAATTATGATTCATTAATAATTAATAGTAATTTTTCAACGACTGGCCAAAAATAAAATATACCAAAATTTCTTTAAAAATGCTTAAACTAAAGGAGTACAAAAAAAACCTGATATGAGGGATTATAATATACGAAGACAATTATTATTATCATAGTTTTCATATTATATTAATTAATCTTTAAATTTAATATCATTATTAAAATGAAACTAATCATTTCATCATCTACTGAACTGATAATGGATGATAACACTTAAGTTGATAAATTTAATTACGACATGTTAATCTAAATTGAGAAAATAAATTCGATCGAAAATCGAAATATATAATCCCAAACCAGTTTTCATATTATATCACTAATCTTTAAATAAATGGGATTAATCATTTCATCATCTACTGAACTAATAATGGATGATAACGCTCAAGTTGACAAATTTAATTACCACATGTTAATCTAAATTGAGAAAAAAAATTCGATCTAAAATCGAAATACATGATAATCTTATCATTAGCATTAATTAATATACAATAAATTTTACTTCGAAAATGAATGATAAAAGTAACCTATCAATTCTAGCTAAACGAAAACAATATAATTAATTAAAGAATTGTGAACATTCCCTACTTTAATTCTAATTAATTAATAATTACAAATAATAGTATTACTTTTTGAAAGATAAAATTTCAAGAAAAATTTGAACATAACCCACTAATGATTAATTTTAAATTATTCAAATAAAACAAATACAAAGAAATCATTTCTACATTACGTTTTTTTTTTCTTCCTATGTAAAAATAACTTTTACAGGAGTGTGTAATTCCGGAAATAAGATGAAAACGGAGAGAAAAATTCCGGAAGAGAAAGAATTTTTCAATATCTTTCTTTTCCTTTTAATATTCTTTTTTCTTCCACTAGAAAAATTAGAAAAATAAAAATTTCAAATAATTATTGTTAATTATTATTTAATTATATAATCCATTTAAATTTCAATTTTAGCATATTTGTAATCTAACTAAAACTTTTTCTCTTCCTCTCTCTCCTTCTCTCTCTCTTTCAATTTAATCAAAAATAAGTTTTTCAATGAGTAATATTTTTAAGTGTTAATTAATGGAAAATTCAACAACGCTTCGAGATCAAAGAAGATATATTGATCAATAAATTTCTCGAACACATTAAAATTTCATTTTCATTTTGTTTTTAAATTCACTACTTTTTTTCCTTCGGAAATTTTTCAATTTTAGGAAATACATATATGAATTGAAATATTGCACTAAACAAATTGAGCAAAGCAAACGAAAGAGTTAGAAGTACTACGATATTAATTGTAATTTTAAATTCTAATTAATTTTAATCCTATATATGAAATTGAAGTTTTCATATTTTCTTTTAAGCTTGATATATGGGTATAGCTTAAATGTTGTGCATTTTATAAAAAGAACATATGAGAGAATAGTAAAAATAAATTGAAAGAAAATTTCCATAAAATTAAATTCACATATAAACCTTTCATGCCTTAAAAAAATTTTAAGATAGTTTTAATAAATAATAAATAATTTTAATAATAAATAATTAATAAATAATTTTAACAAATAATAAATAGAAAAAAAAATAATAAGCAAAATATTAGGACCAGCTAGAAAAATCAATGATTCAAATTTGGTGCTAATAAAAATTGAAAAAATAACTTAACATCCATTAGCAAGCATATTTATGAAATTCAAAACAAAGAGAAATGTTATTGAAATTTTTAAGATTTAAAATTTAATTTTAAAATTTAAAAAAAAATTGCATATTTTTCAAGAAAAATAAACGAAAAAAAAAGAGATGATAATTTGATATTAATTTTTGCTAATTAATAATTATTTTCAACAAAATGCAACATTTGTAAAAATTTCAAATTTCAAATTAAATTTAAGACGAAATTTAATCATTGCTAATGTTTTCCTTCTTATATGTACCATATTCTTTTCATGAAAAGAGAATATTCAATGAATTATAAAAACTTACAAATTCCTTTAATACATCGACAATTCGATGTTTTATTCGAGCTCCGGTATAATGGATTTTATCCTGACCAGGTCGATCAATTACCGTTACTCGTTTAGAACATTCATTGTTTTGTAATGTGTGTTTGCCATCCGCCATTTTCTGTGAATGATATAAAAAAAGATAAGAAAAATTTTTACAATTAATTTCATTATTATTATTAATTATTAGCTATTAATTATTAATTGTTAATTATTAACTATTTATCATTTATTATTTATTGTTTATTATTTATCATTTAATACTTATCATTTATTTATTTGCTATTTATTGTTTATTGTTATTAATTATCACTTCATGTTTTTTTCTCTTTGTTTTCTTTCTTAATTCTAAATTCGAACGAAAATACTCTTTCAAATGTAAAATTACAAATCGTTTATTAAATATCATAGTAATATCATTAGCGCTTTTGTTTTTCTTTTTCCACCATATCGTATCCAATCTGATCTATCGTTTCCACATGAAAAAAAAAGTGTAGTCTGATAATTAACTAGAAGATACGGTGATAAACAAATAACAGTCAAGTTTAAGTTTTAGAAAAAAAAAAAAGTACACAAAGATAATTTAATCATAAATGATAAATATATCGAAATATCGGAAAGCTATAATTATTACTGAAAAATAATTAATTCTTCGATTAAACTAAACTATGCCAAAAAATCATCATTAAACATTTAATGCATAAAGCTATTTTCCTTAACAAAAAAGAGCTACAAAAACATGAAAAGAATTCGCTTAGCTACCACACTATCCTCACTCATACCAACCCTGAAAAATGCGAACTGACATACATATATCATCAGCAAACACAACAGATAAAGCAAAAGCATAAATGGAACCAAAAAGCAGACTGAATGCGATCGGTGAATCGGTGGATGACAATGATGCTTTTTGTTAAACAAGTGAATATGATGATAGTATCAATCCAATGATCACTGTCTCAATTATTCCTTCTATTTTCTACATTAGTGTATAATCAAATTAGGCTATAATTTACTATAACTTTAGGTTAGAAAAAAAACGAGCCTAAGTTACGATTGATCATCAATTATATTGAACAAGAAATAAGTAATCAATTATCAACTTCTTATTCCAATCATCGATTATCTACAGGGCTATAACCTAAGTCTGAAGAAAATTATCCTATTTAATAATTGACTGTAACCAAAAATCAAGTAACAAATAGCCATAAGCTGATACCAAAATTACAAATAGCCATAACATAATATCAAAGTTATAAAATGGCTAAATTATCTTTGCTAGCAGAAATGGTATCATATGCAATGGATAATATATTGGATTATAAAGCATAAAGTATGGATTATAAAACGATATGATTCTAAACATGAATTAACATCGAGTAATTTTATGCCACTTCCTTATATATATATATATATAAATACATAAAATAAAACCTGCGTAAGGTCGGGAAATGAATTGTTTTTTATTGTAAATCTTTTATGATTAACGATCGGCGTAATAAAGTGAAATTCAGGATGATGCGACACTCCAGGAAGTGATAAACGATGAATAGCCGAATTCAATGTTTTCGCTAAAATGCTTCGATTTCTTCCATAAAGGCATGGTTCGGATTGTTTACTTCTCAGTTCTGTTGTCACTTCTGTCGGTATTACAGATTTTGTCACCATTGTTACTGTTTTTGCCGTTGTTGTAGCAGTTGTTGTTGTCATTATTGCTGTTGCTACTGTTGTTGTTGTCGCTGCTCTTCCTTTTGTTATCGCTGCTGCTGCTGTTGTTGGTGCTATTACTGTTGTTGGTGTCATTACTGTTGTTGGTGCTGTTGCTTTTGTTGTTGCTGCAATTGTTGTTGTTGCTGTTGTTGTTGTTGTTACTGTTGCTGTTGCTATTGCTGTTATTGCTGTATTTGTTGGATTACAATAATTAGCATAAAATTGTGATATTGCTAGAGTTTCAGGATTATCATTGCTAATCACATGTCGCATTCTTGATGACATCTTCGTTTCACTACTATTATCTCTTCCTTCCTTCTTTTTCACTTCTTTTCCATTCAATCTTCTTGTTACACCTGAAAATTGTTTCTTAATTATTTGTATCGAAAAAGAAAACAAGAAAACTCCTCGTTTTTTTTTCATCAAAAAAAGAATCTATGCTAATAACGAAATCAATTTTGTTATTGATACTGAAATTACAACATTGAAAATCTGTCCTTTTGATATTTTGATAATGTTCGATATTTTTCAAAATTGATACGAAACACTCCCTGATATCATGATGAATTTCCCGCAAAAGAAAAAAAGAAGTTGTCATCATTGTTTTTCAAATAAATCAAAATTTAATAAAATACATTCGTAGAAATAAGTGTTTCCGAATGTTCCATTCTTTTTATTATTACTAATTGATTGTTTATTACTTTTATTATTACTATTATTATTATTATTATTATTATTATTATTATTATTATTATTATTATTATTCTAAATGTAGTATTTCGAATATTTCATACATTCTTATAATACATTTATTCAA